ACATGTGCCCTGGGGCCGGGGTTGGGGCCGCCCATGCGCCTGGGGCCGGCACTGCGTGCCGGGGGCGGGGCCAGCCCAGATGTTTCAGCGGGCGCACAGAAATCCCCCGGCGGGCGCCATGGCGCCCGCGGGCACCGCATTGGGGACCCCTGCTATATAGTTTCCTGGTCAGTGAGCTATGATTTGTTAACTACAGAGCCCAACTGGTGCACTCCTGGAGAGGAACTCATGATAAGTCTCCCAGGATATCTGTGGAGATGCGTACCTTTCCAGAAGGCTACGACTGTCCTTGTGAATCAATGTCCTTGTTGCTCTGAATTCCTCAGCAATTTCTCTCACTGGGTCTGACAGGCATTGAGCGACCGGTTCAGTGGTGAGATCCCTGATGACCAAATGGCTCACAGCTCCTTCTTTCCTGATGAATATTTCACCTGCTCTTCTGTATGCTTCAGCTGTGGGTAAGAAACACACTCTCCTCCCTGTAGCAGGCAGTACTGTCCAGATCTGCAGCATTAGAATGCATGGTCATAATGAGGTCACAAGTACTGCAGAGACACATCATAAGTATCTAGTGGTGACATCAGTGTGGTATAGTTTGAATATAGAGTTTGCATGTTTCCCTGACATCAGAATCTATTTGAATTCCCTGGAAAGCAGTTCAATGTGTGTTGTGGCGGCTGCTGTCTCTATGCTCCAGTTAGACAATATGATCTTGTTTTCAAGATTTGACGTAAGGCCCTACTTAAACTGTGGGATGTGTGTCAAAATTGCGGCTGAGTTTCAGACAAGACATGGAAAATTGTGGAAAAGTAATAATGGACCTCATTATTTGTGGTAATAAAGTTCATTATTATTTTTCCATGAGAGTGCTTGGGGCTGAGTGGCCATCGAAAACTCCTCCTGTCAAAACTGCAGTGGAAACCTACTATTGCAGAATCTGCAATCTCGCAAGTCAAGTACTGATGTCATCTCTTTTTGCGAACATCTTTTCCCAACTAGTGTTCATAAGCGTGTGGTCTCAGAATCGTGCAGTTCTCTACAAGGGCAGTGTGTGAAATGAGTGGTCTACAAGAATCCCTTGAAGTAAAAAATAATTGCCACGTGAGACTTCATTATTTTTGTTACATAAACATCACCAAAACATGCATCCACCCAGCCTGCCACTGTGAATTCTGGCCTGTAACTAGCAGCCACTCCCACGGATGCTGACAAGATTTTGCATAACTGGTCAGATGCATCAGAACTTGATTGCAAGTCTTGGCTAAGTAAAGTCAAGGTAGAGTGGGAATTGGTGCTGGTAATTCAGTGGATGGTAGTCATCCCTCTGAGTCTGTACTGTGCTGTATCAGTTAGGGATGTTAAATTGCAGTTAATTAGCTAATTGAGTAGTTGATGGAATTTCCCCAGGAGCTAACATAAGAGCCACCAAGCTCTTAATACATTTAAAAGGCAGAGGTGCAGAATCTGGGACTGGGCATGAACTGGGAACCAGCTGATTCCCTGCTCGCACCCAGTCCCCCTGCTACGCCTCTGCCTCCCTGTCCCCCCGCAGAGACAGTGCAGAGGGGAACTGGCTTTTAAGCTAGCTCCCCCCAACACTGGCTCCTACTCCCCACCCCGTTGCTGCCTCTCTCTGAAAGAGGGAGCAAGGGGAGGGGGGTGGAAGTGACTAGTTGAATCATTGTTTGAATACCTGATAAGAATGTGCTTATTGGGTAGTCAAGTAATTGCTTACATCCCTAGTATCAGCATGATGCTATGGAGGATAGGGCTGCTGGAAGGTCTGTCTATTAAATAAGATATAACACTAGGTTTCTAGTCTTTCATAATCATTAAAAATTCTCTTGCGTTATTTGTAAGACAGGGTTCTCAAACTCCCAGCCAACGGGCCACCCTGGCTGGAGCAGTTGCACAGTCTGGCTCAGGCGTCCTGGGGGGCAGATAGGGCTGTTCGTTCCCAGTCCTTCCCACCATCATATCATCCCTGAGAGATGTGGCTTTGGGGATTATTGGGGTGGTCTGGTGCAGGGCAGCAGTAGCGGTTGGGCACCCGTGCACTTGCCACAGTGCCGGTCCGCTTCCCCTCAGCTCCTGCTATCATGGCGAATCTGGGGGGGCCTTGTGGGGAAAGAGCCCTGACCCCCTGGTAATCTCTGAAGGATGCGGTACCATGGGGGGAAAGAGCAGGGTGATGGTGGGAAGGGGCATTGTTTGGGGAATGGGAACAGACAGTTCTCCCCTCACCTCCTGCCTGCAAGGACGCCTGGGTATCTGCTCTGGCTGGAGATGGGCCACAGGCCAAGAATTTGAGACTCCTGTTATAAGAATTGGGATGTTAGCTCTAATGTCTTGGCCCAATTCCAAACTTGGTTAGTTCCATCTTCTAGATTTCTTGCGTAGCTTCCATTGGATCCAGTATTCACTTCCCGTATTAAATTGCTGTATACTATTACTCTGAAACCGCTACTGTCCCCGACTCCATGATGGCAGCATTTCAATGGCCTGTGAAGTCATTGTTGGATGTACGGCTTCTAAAGTGCTGTGGGATTAAAGGGACTATACAAATCTAATATGTTAAATAAAACCTAACTTTAGTTCTGGCAGTTTCGCTGACCTTTTACTGAGATCTGTCCTGTATCAGTGACTCTCTGGCTTGCTCACTGCTTGCTCCTGAACTCCAGGTGTGGCTGTAAGAACAGCATGAACCATGCAAAAGAAGGAGCTCCTCATGAAGCCAAGAGCCGCTGCAGATACTCCCACCAGTATGATAACAGAGTCTATACCTGCAAGGTAGGCAGAACCCTAGGGATGGGAACCAGTACGTGCAGAGGGAGAAGAGGGGAACCCACACCTTGGGAATGAGGAAAACTACGCACATGTGTCTGTGGTCTCGCTCCTCTTCTCTGTTGAAGACTCATGAGAACAGCCTTTTGGCTTTGACTTAGCAACAATATTTTTGTTGATCCATAACAGTATGTTGGTAATTGTTCTGTTTGCTGGCTTGCCAGTCACAGTGCTTGCATATTTTGCTGGCTGAATCACCAAGGGTGCTCTGGTGCCAACTCCCAGGACAGGTTAAGCATTAGATGTTGCCTTTCACTCCCACTACACTGAGGCTACGTCTAGACTGGCCACAAATTCCGGAAAAGGGATGCAAATCAGGTAAGTCAGCATAGGGAAATCCGCGAGGAATTTAAATATCCCCCGCGGATTTAAATAAACATGTCCACCGCTTTATTTCCAGCTTGGGGAAAAGCCAGAAAAAAAGCATCTAGACTGGCGCGATCCTCCGGAATAAAGCCCTTTTCTGGAGGATCTCTTTCAAGTAGGAATACGAGATCCTCCGGAAAAGGGCTTTATTCCGGAGGATCGCGCCAGTCTAGATGCTTTTTTTCTGGCTTTTCCCCAAGCTGGAAATAAAGCGGTGGACATGTTTATTTAAATCCGCGGGGGATATTTAAATCCCCCGCGGATTTCCCTATGCTGACTTACCTGATTTGCATCCCTTTTCCGGAATTTGTGGCCAGTCTAGACATAGCCTGAATGTATAAGCCCTTTAATTGCTCTCTGTATTTCCTTCCATCCGTCCCTAATGTTGATTTCTTTTTTGGTGTGCGTGTAACTCAAAGATCAGGTGGAGGAGCCTGGGGGTTACTTCATACAGAGCCATATTTTTATTGTTGTTTAGGCAAATGACATCATTTGGGAATAATGCACAAAAATTCCATTATCAATAATGGGATCCATCACAAGGCCCCTCGAGCAAATAATCTCCATAAACACACACCAAATAAAGCCTTTAAACTTACTTGCGATCCAACAGACACACGAGACTTGATGTTGGGGATGCCAAAACATGATTCTAATCAAACACTCCTGTTCCAGGCTTGTTATGAACGTGGCAAGGAGGTCAGCGTGGTGCCAAAAACATCTGCTTCCACTGATTCCCCTTGGATGGGCCTTGCCAAGTACGCCTGGTCAGGGTGAGTGCAGGGGCAGGCAGCCTCTTCCCTCTGCCAATTTCTTTGGGCCTCCTGCCCTTGCTAGATAACTAGCTCTCCTTGTTCTTTACTGCAGGTATGTGATTGAGTGCCCCAACTGTGGAGTGGTGTACCGCAGCCGACAGTACTGGTTCGGGAACCAAGATCCTGTGGACACAGTGGTGAGGACAGAAATCGAGCACGTCTGGCCTGGAGTAAGTCTTGTTGTTGGGGTGCTTTTGAGGTGTGTGTGGTTTCTTTGCATAACATTGCAAAAAAATGGACTGACTCTTGCTATAGCAGATGCCTCTCCTGCTTACATATGGAGCCACTTTCCAGGATAGGCATCCTCAGAGCAAGAGGCAGTCAAGTTTTGTGTGTGGGGACATAAAAACTGGATTGGATACAACACCATCTTGCAGTGGTATCTAGGAGATGAGCTAAAAAACCTAACAATTCTTTCCTATCTCTGATTAATAAAAATATAGAATAATCCCAAAATGCTTCTTATACACATCCCCACTGTAAACCCAGCCACCTGCTGCACAGCATGCTGAACAGCAGTGGGAGCAAGGGACATTTGAGCAAACTTCCTCCTCTAGCAGAAAGTTCCATGGGTTATTCAATATCCACATTAGAGAGGCCAGGACCGTTTTTTTTAAGGTCCCTCTGAAAGTCTTGCATACAGTAAACTGAACAGTGCTCAGCCTGTCTTCTGAAGACTGAAGGTTCAAGTTGACCTTATCAACATACAGACTCTTAGTGTGAGTGTTTGAACCATTAAGACTCTCCCCCCCCTCTCAAAAAGATAGGAATGTGATCCTTCAAGGTGTTGCTCTCTAGCTTAACAGCAGCAATGGACAGTCGTTTGGTGCAAGAAGCACATGCTCAGGTTTCCTTCTCTGTTTTTCCATTTTCATGTAAATATTCATTGGGGTATAGACAGATGGATTCCTGAAAGACAACAATAATGCAGCTCAGCGCCTGTTGGATGGAATGAATTTCATGGCACAGTCTGTGTCTGAGCTCAGCCTGGGACCCACAAAAGCTGTGACGTCTTGGCTGACGGACCAGATTGCCCCAGCCTACTGGAGACCCAACTCTCAAATCCTGGTATGTAGCTGCTGCTGTATTTTTATGCTGTTGAGGGAACCTCCTCCATTTGCTTTTGATGTACTCTTCCTCCACACATTATCCATATAATAAAACAACAAAGTGACCGTTAAAATACAATTGGATAGATTTCAGGTTCCCCATCTCCTATGGATTGCAAACTGAATCTCACCTACTTCCTGCAGCTCTTCAGAGTTAGAGGTACTGCCTTCTGCTGTTCATGTTCTTGGCACAGCCTGAGAGCGATAATACCAGATGCCTTGTCCATCCCTTTTTCCTTGAATATGTAATTTTGTCCCCTTATTTTTCCACTGACTCTTCCTGCTTCTTCAAGTTTGACCCATTCCCACCATCAGTACTATTAATAAAAATGCTGGCTCCTGCATTCTTGCTCTTAAACATGGACTTCAACTTTGAATCTCTTAGCCTCCCATTTGTGCATTCTCACTTTTGTAATTTGTACAAAGTATGAAGCTGGAGATGAATATTTGGCAGTTCAATTAGAAAAAGACTCCCAGTTCTTTTGTGAAAGCATATAAAAGAAATTGGGTAGATGGCTAAAATAGAAATGACCATCTTTGTTTTCCAAAACCTTCAGGGGGCCACAGATCAACAGCAAGTCATGTAGGCACCGAAGAAAGCATAGTTTTAACCATTCACGACTGTAACCACAGGATCTGTGGCAATGCTGCTAACCCAACCACAGCATGCTTGCCTTCCCATGGGCCCCTACTTTGGGTATGAAGCCCTGGAGCCAGGAGGACAGTGCTGGCACCACCTCAGGTGGTGTCTCTGCCCGAGACTCTTCATTGAAAGACATCAGAAAGTCTCTACAGTGGAAGTGGAGATCTGTTAATTGTGAGACTTGCAATACTTTCCCCATTCATGCAGGATCCAGTCACTTTTACAGGTGCCCCAATCTATGCCATCTTGTGATCCAACTCTCTGACTCTTTCCTCATCTGAGATAATTAGGAAAATCAAACTAACAGTTTCTTGTTCTGTTTTGTTTTGTTCAGAATTGCAACAAGTGTGGCACATCCTTTAAAGAGAATGATACTAAACATCACTGCCGGGCCTGCGGGGAGGGTTTCTGTGATGGCTGCTCTTCCAAGACCCGCCCCGTCCCAGAGCGGGGCTGGGGTCCGGCACCAGTGAGAGTGTGTGACGACTGCTATGATAGCAGGGGCATCCAGTTAGGTAATCCTGACCTGACTCTGCTAATTCTTGGAATATAGGGAAATTCTCCACCTTCCTGTTAGCATGAAACATATATTGTGTCTGAAATCTTTTCACTGACTTCTTTCTATTGAAAGCCCCATTTCAGGATAGTTTGTGAAGCTGGCCCATATACTGATCCAACCTGCCAACTGATGTCCTCATAAGGGGTATAGATATACATCACCTCAGAGCATGATTTGAAGTCATGTTGTGAATACTTCTGTGGGGGAGGGGAAGCAGATGAACTCAGAGCAACCTTTTTTTCTATTGCAAATACCATTCATAGGAAATGAGTGAAAAATCTGATCCCTTGAAGGAATTATTTCTAAATTGGACTTTATCCCAATATCGCAGAAGGCAACAACATCTCCTGCTGGTGGGGAGACAGCATCCCTCTGCACTGGTCTTAGCAGACTGTGTCTTGTCCCATGTGGCTGGAGGAAAAGTGTAATAGTGAAAGTCATACAAATTTCCTAAGGGAAGGCAGGGTGGGTGTGAAATAAAGGCTGAGTGGTGGTGGTTGGCTGCGCTGGGATGCCAGAGAGCCCCAGACCTACATTATGGGTGCTGCAAATAAGCAAGGTATCTTGGCTTAACATTAGCTTCTCTGATCATATGAATTAACTGAGAGTTGGCAGGAATTGTGCCTTGGTTTTGAGCTGTAATTCTTCTGTCTTGCAGATGTGCCTGAGGCACAGACAGAGGAGGAAGGTGGGACGCTGATTGCCAGGAAGGTCGGCGAGGCTGTGCAGAACACTCTTGGAGCTGTGGTGACTGCCATAGATATACCACTAGGTGAGCGCTCTTTGCTTCCAATTGGTTTTCAGTCTGGGAACATTTTGGTCACATATGTCAGAGCTGTTCATTACACTTCAGTGCTTGAAATGAGCTGGCATGGCACAGTGACACTTCTTATCCCCAATATGGGTAAAGGGTCCCCCTTCTGCTCCTGAGCCTTAGGGCCTGCCAAGCTCTCTCCTTGTTTCCTCTCTATTCTCTTAGCAATGCAGCATTGCAGATCCTTGAGTTCTGAGTATCACTTCTTCTTGATACGCCAGTAGATTTACTACAGTGGTCTGCCGGACTGAGTTTCCTAGGCTGTATTTAAAAAAACATAGAATCATAGAATACTAAAACTGGAAGGGACCTTGAGACGTCATCAAGTCCAGTCCCCAGCTCTCACGGCAGGACCAAGCACTGTCTAGATCATCTCTGACAGATGTCTATCCAACCTGCTCTTTAATCTCTCCAGTGATGGAGATTCCACAACCTCCCTAGGCAATTTATTCCAGCGTTTAACCACCCTGACAGTAAGGAAGTTTTTCCTAATGTTCAACCTAAACCTCCCTTGCTTCAATTTAAGCCCATTGCTTCTTGTCCTATCATCAGAGGCAAAGGAGAACAATTTTTCTCCCTCCTCCTTGTAACATCCTTTTAGATACTTGACAACCATGATCATGTCCCCTCTCAGTCTTCTCTTTTCTAAAGTAAGCAAGCCCAGTCCTTTCAGTCTTCCCTCAGAGCTCATGTTTGCTAGACCTTTAATCATTTTTGTTGCTCTTCTCTGGACCTTCTCTAATTTCTCCACATCTTTCTTGAAATGTGGTACCCAGAATGGTACACAATATTCTGAAGCCTAATTAGTGCAGAGTAGAGTGGAAAAATGACTTCTCGTGTCTTGCTCACAACACACCTGTTAATGCATCTCAGAATCATGTTTGCCTTTTGTGCAACAGTGTCACACTGTTGACTCATATTTAGCTTATGGTCCACTATGTCCCCATGATCCTTTTCTGCAGTACTCCTTCCTAGACAGTCGCTTCCCATTCTGTATGTGAGACATGGATTGCTCTTTCCTAAATGAAGTACTTTGCATTTGTCCTTATTAAACTTCATCCTATTTACCTCAGACCATTTCACCAGTTTGTCCAGATCATTTTGAATTATGACCCTATCCTCCAAAGCAGTTGCAACCCCTCCCACCTTGGTATCATTTGGAAACTTAATAAGTGTACTCTCTATGCCAGTATCTAAATTATTGATGAAGATATTGAACAGAACCAGTTTCAAAATAGACCCCTGCAGAACCCACTTGTTATGCCCTTCCAGCATGACTGTGAACCATTAATAATTATGCTATGATGGTTATCAGGCCAGTTATGCACCCTCCCCCACTTATAGTAACCCCATCTTGGTTGTATTTCCCTAGTTTATTGATAATAAGGTCACACGAGCCCGTGTCAAATGCTTTATTAAAGTCTAGGTATACAATGTGCACCACTTCTCCCTTTTCCACAAAACTTGTTATCCTATCAAAGAAAGCTGTCAGATTGGTTTGACATGATTTGTTCTTTACAAATCCATGCTGGCTGTTACCTATCACCTTATTATCTTCCAGATGTTTTCTGATGAATTCCTTAATTACTTGCTCCATTATCTTCCCTGGCACAGAAGTTAAACTGACTGATCTGTAGTTTCCTGGGTTGTTCTTATTTATATAGATGGGCACTATATTTGCCCTTGTATAGTCTTCTGGAATCTCTCCCAACTTCCATGACTTTTCAAAGATGATAGCTAAAGGCTCAGATACTGCCTCTATCAGCTCCTTGAGTATTCTAGGATGCATTTCATCAGGCCCTGATGACTTGAAGACAGATAACTTTTCTAAGTAAAAGAATGCACCATGGCCAACTATGATGTATTCGGTCAGGTTTTTCAGAGGCTCTGAATGTCTGCAGCTCCAGTTAATATAATTTGGCGCTATGGGTGCTCAGCATTTTTGCAAATCAGGACCAAGACATTTAAACATCCAGTAAATGGGCCTTAATGCAGAACTTAGTACAGTGACAGCATGCTGGTTCTTAGTGCTCTGGGTACCAGCCCATGTGCTTCAGCCATGTGGTTTAAATGGTTTAAATTCCATAGCTGAATTGCTGTTTGTCTTGGTGGCCAACCCCTCACAGGAGGTAGACAGCAGTAAAGTGTGATGAATTGCATCAACCACTGAACAAATCTTCTCTCCATTGCTCTGTCTGGAATTTAATTAGATTGGCAGGCCTCTTCTTTTCTAATAAAATAGAAGCAAGAATGAAGCTGCCTGGTGTTGTTGTTGCTACTATTGTACACATACCTGAAAAAGTGAGGGATGCATTGTTGTGGCCACCAAGCTGAATCACAATGGAGGGACGACAAGGCAGAGAAAGTAAATGTTCCCTGAATTACTGATGGCAGAAGGAGATGTCTAACTCCACTTACCCTAGATGGTAAAGAATGGCAAAAGATTAGCAAAGTGGGACTGTGCTTTTTTCCAGGCCCAGAATCTCATCTTGGCATAATAGCTTGATTGTGGGATCATTCCAGTAATTCTGGGATAGTCGATCAGTCTGTTCTCTTGTGAAGCCAAGACTAGGGGTTAAGAATAATAGCTGCCTTACTTCTACAATGCAAACTACAAGAAGCCCATGACAGTGGGCTGTATCGCTCCCAGAGATTTATTAGATCTACTTAATTTGGTACACCAGGCTGAATAAGATTTAATGCAGGAATATTCTTGTTTAGGTCACTGGTTCAAACCCTCCCAAGATCAGTAGTGACCAAGTGCCATAAGCCACTGGTCACTATTTGGTGACTGATATGAACTGGAGTTCTGAATCCGGTTACTATTAGACAGGAATCCACATCACATGCCATGAATTGGTATCCTGGGTAGCGCACTCAGCAAAAAGGTCTAGGATTGAGTGAGATTTGGAGACTGACCTGCTTTCTGGCCTCTAGCTTGGTCAGGTCTGAGTGTGGAGGGGAAGCTTGCGCTGCATGTTGAATCTATTGTGTGGATAAATAGAGGAGTTCATTCTCTAGGGCTACCAAACCAACTGTAACTATTTTTTATTAAACAATGGTCTAATGGTGATAAGATACACATTAAAAACAACGCCACTGAATTGCGTAGGGGCAGAATATGAAAAACCTGGAATAGCCTGAACTAGTAGTGGATGTCTGCTACAATGAAGTGTTCTGTGGGTAGATCTTAACAATTTCTATAATGAGCTGTCTGGATAAGGTACAGGTGTGGCTGGTAAATGCTTGGGTCCTTCCCCCTCCTCTTCCTTAAGACAAACAGGAGCTATTCTAATTGCGGTGGTTTTTCCTAATCATTTATAGGGCTCGTGAAAGATGCTGCTAGACCTGCTTACTGGGTGCCGGATCACGAAATCCTGCAGTGCCACAACTGCCAGAAGGAGTTCAACATCAAGCTCTCTAAACACCACTGTCGAGCCTGTGGCCAGGGATTCTGTGATGAATGTTCAAATGAGCGCCGAGCGGTCCCTTCCCGTGGATGGGATCATCCAGTGCGAGTCTGTTTTAATTGCAATAAGAAACCCGGTGATCTTTAACCCCAGCTTCCTGTCCAGATCCTTCACAATTCCTTAGGTTCTCAGGGTTAGAAAATATTTGGTCTCCCTTTCACCTTTTGCAGCCAGAGTGCATGTTTCTGATGTCTGGCCTGCTCTCATGTTCTACTCATCTTAGAATGCTGGGACATGAACTCGAGTGAGTAAACTGGACCTTCATGTTTTAATTGCAAGGTGATTGGGGAAGTGGGAAGCTCGCCTGTAAATGAGCAACCCAAAATCCACTGCATTTTATTCCAGTTTAAATATATCTACATAATCTAGTATATTAAGGATGCAGCTGGCTAGTGAAGTTTTTAATATTTCTAGTTTCAATAAGAGATGCAGCTACTCCCTGCTGTACTGGGTCAAATTCATAGCCACTGCAGTGCCTTCTAATTCTTCTCTTGAAGCATTTTGCTCATCACAAGGTCCTATTGTAAAGGTTTGGACTCTTTGCTGCCAGGAGGGTCCAAGGCTCCTCCCAAGAGCCTTGATTCATGAATTGCATCTGATAATGGAAAGAGTCTTGCCTCTGTACGCTCCACCTCCTGGCACTGAAGTGTTTGTGCAATCCATTTTAATTGCGGTCACAAATGCTAGTCTGGCAGGTCATGCGACTGCAGTGCAGGCAAGTAGAGGAGAACCTAGTACATGGCAGAGACCAAGCTAAAGTTGTTGAAAGGAAAGCAAATGATGTGAAAAATGCTAGGTCATCTGTGGTAACAGCTATTTCCACCTCAACACAAGATCACAAAGTAGGAGGACCTCACACTTTTTGACCACATTACAATGTGCTTGGATTTCTTTCCAGAGGACTATAATGCTTTATGAGCTGTTATTTATGAGACCAAACTAAGAGGCTTGTGACCAGAATGAAGCAGGTGCCAGCTTTCTGGAAGATCACATGATCTGCAGTCTAGTGTTTGCTAGGCTTACTAAAGTTTTATAGGGTCCCCAAATCCATAGTGCCATGGATTATCTTGCAGATGACTGCATAGAAATGGCACAGAATTGACTGTGATCTTTCTTAAAAAACAAAACAAAACAATCACAACTAACCAACCAAGTCTACAGATCAAGCTGGAAAACAGGAATCTCTTCCCAGTTCTTAGTAAGGGGCACTTCCTGGACTTTACCCTTCCATAAAGGTCTTCATTGAACCACTAAAATTATCAGCAATGAGCAAACCACTGAGCTCAACTGATATGCTCCTTTTCTGTGGATTTTGGACAAGAAATAAGAGAACATCATGAACTGAATTTTTCGCTTCTGTAGACGAGGGATGCTCCCATGGAGACTTGTCTCCAGGTGTAGTGGCTGGAGTTTGACATGATACCCTGAAACTGATTAGTCCTACCTGTTAAACGTGCCCTTGTGTAGCTCAATGATTGGCTTCCTATTTTAGGACTATATTATTAAATTAACTGCTATAAAAGACTAGACCTTCTGAACAGGTGTGCTGACTTTGTCCTTGTAACTAATAGTTCTTGCTCTCATACCCAAGAAACCTGTTTGCAAAGAGACTGCACCAGGCAGCTATTCCCAGACTTCATGGCACGCCAAAGCTGAAATGGAATGTGTTGTAGGAAACCTTCCCTGCTGGTTATACTTACCAGAGACAGACTTGCATTTTGTAATTGAAGGCTATCATAAGCCAGCAGTCACTTTGAAGGTGGTGGGGATAGGATGGGTAACGGTCCTGTTTTAGAAAAGACATTTTACAGCATAGTTCTGCACTTTGAGCTGTTTATTTTTAAATAAGTGGTGGAGAATACAATTAAGATTTGTTGTTGGTTTGAAGGCCATGCCCCCTGTGGTCTCCATGCATGTAGCTTTACTAACATGTTTATGCACAAAGAGAAATCAACCATGACATTCCTTCTATAAAGTCTTCACTTCAGTGTCTCAATGCCATTGACTTGTCAGAACTCTGGCCTGCCACAGACAGATGGACTGCCCCAGTCCATTTAAGACAAAGTGCAATATATGAATTTCTAGCACACACATTGCTATGGTATCCGAGTGTCTGTTGGGACATGGAGTCCAGTCCCGACTGACAGCTCTTATGCTTTGGGATGTTTGGACTGTGCTGAGATCCTGTCAGCAAAGCAAGAACACTTTTGTTGTGCTTACCTGAAAGGGGGTTGATGTCAATGCTGCTGGATAATGACCAGGGAGAGAAAGGGGGAAATGGATCTGAGCATCAGTAAAATCAAGAGAAAGGCAACAGGTAACCCTAAATAAAGTAACAGGAAAGGTAAGAAACTCAGCTAAGGCCTGGTCTACACAAGCAAGTTGCTGTGGTTTAACTTACATCACTTTTCAAACAATTTGACCTCCCATATGAACTCTCTTTATTTCAGTTTAAGTGGCTTGTTTCAGTTTTAATTTAAACCTGTCCCTAAACCATTTAACTAATGTGAAATAAACCAATCCTAGAATAAGAATGTCTACATCATGGTTCACATCAATTTAACTAGATCAGTTTAAATTCACATCTTAGGTTATACTGGTGCATCTTCCCAGCGGGTATGTCTACACTACAGCGTTATTTTGAAATATCTTATTTCAAAATAGTTAATTTGAAATAAATTATTTCGAAATAACACGTCTACACACAAAATGCATTTCGAAATAGTGTTTAGCTATTTCGAAATAGTGCATCCACACTGAGCGGACGCTGAATTGCATTTAAGGCCGGCCGGAACCAGGTCCGGCAGAGCATCAGGTCAAGAGTTACTTTGTGTGGCTTCTGCCTGAGGCTGTCTGAAGCCTGTGCTTAAAGGGACCCCCCCGGACGGCCGGTTCTCAGCTTTCCCTGCTTGCTTGCCTACCTCCGTGAGGGACAGCAAAACATTTTGTGTCTGTGTGCTCTGGTTGCCCTCACTTGGGACACGACAGCACTCTGCAACATGGAGCCAGAGCTGCCCCTGGGCACTCTGGTGCTTCTCTTGGACGTGTTGCTATGAGCCTGGCTACACTTTCTGCAGGCTGCCATCCAGGAGGTCCATGGGGGGCTGTCAGTATCCAGGAGGCCCTGCGGGAGAGCTTCCACCCTGAGGAGCACTTAGAGCCTCCCTGGCCTGCCCCACTGGGGGATTGTGCCTCATTCCTCCCTCCCGTCCTTCCACTTACCCCTCCGTAACTCCCCTTCCTGATGTCAAATAAAATACACGCATTTTCATGAACACAAACTTTCTTTATTTAACAAAACTGAGGGAGAAGGGAGGTAATGAAACTCTGGTGAAACTGAGGAAAGGAGGTGAGAGAGGGGAGAAGAGAGGGTGAGAGATGGGAGGGGGAAGCGAGGGGAAGCTCAGGGTTGGGGGTCTCGCCAGACCAACTTGATAGGCATGCAAACCTACTCCTGGGTTCGCATGTGGCCTTTGGTGGCCAGGCTGGCAGCTATCCTGCCATAGAAGGCCACATTCCTCTGTCTAGTGCGGAGCTCATGGGCGTTGGGGGCATCCCTCCCAAACCTGAATAAGGTCCATGATCTCCACCCTGGACCAGGAAGGTGCCCGCCTTCTCCAGGCCCTGGCAGGCTCCTGGGAGCTGGCAGACTGCTCCTGGGGAGCAGTGGAGGGCTGGCTGCCAGAGGCTTGCTGGCTTATGTTTTGGGGCCACTGGGTCGGGCCAGTGACTGCTGGCTCTGGGCTGACAGGCTTGGAGCTGGCACAGACACTGTGGCCAGTCTACCCTTTAAGGGCCCCGGAGAGGGAGGGAGGAAGGGAGGGAGATAAATATTCTTGGTTGAGGCTGGAGTGGCCACTAGGGCACCCTGGGAAGGCTGGAGGCCCCCTATGTCTAAATAAGTGTCTGCATGGCACTTATTTTGAAATAGCTATTTCGAATTTGGCGTTATTCCTCGTAGGATGAGGTTTACCAAATTCGAAATAAGCACTCCGCTATTTCAAATTAATTTTAAAATAACAGTTTGGCTGTGTAGACGCTAATAAAGTTATTTCGAAATAAGGGCTGTTATTTCGAATTACCTTTGCTGTGTAGACATACCCAGAGAGACCAGGCCTAAGTTACTGTCTTACGTAGTATCCAATGAGAGTGTTTTGGATAGAAGGATAAAATTTAAAAACATTCTCAGGTTACAAAAGTCTCCTGTGGGGAAAAATACTGTAGCCCACACAGGTTAAAGAGCACTATTCAAAGCTGTCCACTATAGGCCTGCCCCTCTCCGAAGTCTTACAGCATCAGGTATCATGAGTGTGGGGAGAATAGAGTGTAGTCAGTATTTTCCTTTAGACCCTTCCTTGTTCCAAAATTAGTCAAAGTCAGAGTCTCGCTCTTATGTTGAAATACAGTTCTCGTGAGAAAGCCAAGTGTTCTTAGAAGGCTCAGCACAAGCTGTTGGTTCAGAGCCTTTTTCATTTCCTACCAAAGTCAATAAAAAGATCCATATTCACTTAAATGGGAGTTGGATCAGGTACTACAAGGAGATAAATATGCCTAGAATGTGTGTGTTAACTAAGCCTAGCAGGAGTTGAGATTTCCAAATTTCTATCCCTGAGGCATTAGTGGTTTCATTAATAAAACCAGAAGAGGTCTAGTAGTTGAATGGAATTAACTTAGGAGATAAGGAAAACATTATTGATATTGAGGAATGAAACACCACAGGGTTAAGAGCAAACCCATATTGCCCTCACAAGAGTACCGTGTTAGTCTGTGAGCTCTGATCTACACTTATTTCAAAATAACAAGTGTAGCATCCACACTACCAAGCCCGTTATTTCAAAATAAGGTGCTGGTTATTTTAAAATAACTGCTTTCCATGAGGAATAATGCTTACTTTGAAATAGCGGTAGTGTGGACGCTCCACCGCTACTATTTGGCAATAACTACTTCCCAGAGTGATTCAAAGTAATTACTCCCAAATGCTTCCTGGGGCTCTAAGTTAAAGTAGCACGTCCACATTAAAGGAGCCTGCCTCAGACTAATTTCGAGGCTTCCCTGTAGAGTGAACATGCTATTTTGAAATAACTTATTTTGAAATAACTCCCAAAATAACTATTTCAAAATAATTTCCTAGTGTAGATGTGTCCTAACTTAAACAAATGAGTGGTCCTGTAGCACCTTAGGGACTAACAATAAACAAAGTATCATGAGCTTTCATGGGCATAAACCACTTCTTCAGATTTGAAGAAGTGGGTTGTGCCCACCAAAGCTCATGATACTATACCCATATTGCCCTGTTAAATGAAAAATGTCATTTTCAGCATATTTAAAAAAGATCAGCTTATGGGTTTTGTAGATTACTTATTCGGGAGTCACAATCTTGTAAATCAAGATGGGAGTTTGGCTTTTGCATCATCCTGCACTGTTCACTGTAATGGTAATGTTTCAGTGGCTGCAGTGAACACTTACCTTGGCAAAATTTTTAATTTCAGTCTGTCTAAGACGTGGAAGAGAACATACTCTTTTGATGTATAGAACAAAGTAGTTTGTTTGATAGTAACTTTTTTGCCAGCAAACTGATGTTGATTCACAGTGGATCAAGAAATCTGTACATCTTTTCTAACAAATGTGGCAAAAAAAATTAAAATAAGAATTGTGAATTGACATGCACATATGCCTGACTGTTTGCCCAAGTGTAAAAATAATTCTTTATACAGGGTACAGCTCAGATTTCAGGAAAAGGAAATTTAGATAATTTTGTTCTTTCCTCAGATTTAATTCAAATAAATTATATGTAATTGACACAGCTGGCTGTATCAATTACATGTAAAGTGGTATATGCTTCACTGAATAGATAAGAGGTATTTTCCTCTCCAATTGGCTACTATAAATTTGTTCAATTTCAGATGGCTTCACACTGCGAAATCTTTGGACCAAATTCAGAAGCAACATGGTGACTGTAGACTACTGCCACCTAGACAACCAGAGGGTGGAAGAGCAGGGTTCTGTCAAGAAAAGCATCTAGCAGGATGTGAAATAAAAGGAACCTCTGTCTTTGACTCTCCTGGTTTGTTCTTTTCCTGCTATAACCTCACCCATTCACTCTCTCTATGTGGACTGTAATTATATTTTCTCCAATTTAATCATTTTTAATTTGTCTGCAGTCTGGAAAAGCAAGACAATCCCTCCCCTGACCATGGTCTCAAAATTATTATGTGTGTGTTTGTTTTTTAATGTTATTCCTTGATACAGAGATCTGCTATGCCCTGCTGCAACAACTAGTAATCACCCATGAAGCTCTGGGGGAGAGGCTAATCCAACTTTCATGATACATTGACTACTTTTCAAGTTACTAACAATATGAAAGCTTTTGGGTTTCCCACTTGGCCATACAGCAAACTGTGGCTCTTTTAATGTAGTTCCCTTATCTCTAGCCAGCATGCTAGAGTTTAAGTGCTGGCCTCTCAGTTTTGTCTGTTGGACATCTTCCCTTTTTCATGTGTGAAGCCACAGGTTGTCCCATTAGTGACTGTAACACCAGCTAG